AAATGTATTCTTAAATAGTGATTTGGCTTCATTTTAACCACACATTTTTAAATAAAATAATATTACACGCTAACTTAAAATTTTTCTTTATTTTTTAACTACACATCATTCATCATAACACTATTACAAAATGCATTTTTTGAAGAAACAAATGGGGCTCAGACAAGCCCTTAGAGCTTTTTGTTGAACACGTGACACCTGAATTTGAACTGAAAAAAATGGATTTGCAATCTCCCCCTTACCACTCGGGCATTTTTAGTTGTTTAAGGTTGAAAGTCTAAATCCAATGCTGATGCATGCTACAAAAACATAATGGTTGATATAGTTCTTAACATAATGTTACGTGACATCTTATCATCGGACGATTTAAAATACAATCAACGTTTACATTCAATCATATATTGTCAACACTTAATATGTAAAAAGTATTTGTCAATATTTTTATGTGGAAGAGGCATAACCTAAATCCAATTCCATCCATTATCATGAAATTGGTGCAGCTTTCATACCAAATTAGCGCTACCATTTTCACCCCCATTTTACAAAATCATCTCAATCATTACGCTAAATATTACATCAAATGAAAGTGATTCATTTATTTCTTTATTTTTAACTCGATAGTTAATTTATTTCAAAAATTATTTAATTACGAATTAGCAACACGGATGGTAATGCATGCTACGAGAGATATGTTATTTTTAATTCAACAGTTAATTTATTTCGTAAATTATTTAGCTCCCATTTGACAATCATTTTTGGTTAAAATGGAGTTTTGAATTTACGCGTAGAATATTTTATTAAGTAAATGTGTGTTTAAAAATAAGTATGTAAAAAAAAGATTTGAAATAATAGTTGTCAAACAGGAGTTAATTACAAATTATATTGCTACTAAATTATTAAATTAAAAATTATATTTAATTAAATAAAATGTTTCATTTAATAATAAAAAATTATAAAAGCAGCATACTTAATATAACAATTTGAAAAATAAAGTTAAGGAAACATTACATATATGAGGTGGCTGCAAAATACAATAATAAAATTAAGAATATAGGTTTATAATATCAAAAATCAGGTCTTAATTAAATTCTGTTAATTAAAAAAATTATTAATTAAATACATTAAGGTCACGATATTATACAATTAATTATCACAGTTACGTACTAGTCACAATTATAAATGTCATAGTCAAAAAACAAGAATTTTATGGATCACAACTTATCTCTTGATCACAAATTATCAAATTAGTGGGTCGTGTATTATTTTTCGATCGCAAATTACAAGCATTATAGGTCGCAAATTATCAAATTAATAGGTCAAGTATTTTTTATTTTTTTTTATCACAAATCACAAATATTTTGGGTCACAATTTATTTATCGGTCACAAATTATCAAATTAATAGATCATGTATTAATTTTCGACCACAAATAACAAATTTTATAAGTTACAACTTATTTCACAGTCATAAATTATCAAAATAATTGGTCACAGCTATAGCTTGATCACAAATTAACAAATTGTGAGCCATATTTTTAAATTTAGTCGAAATTTCACATTTTTCAAAGTCTCGTATTATTTATTCGTCACAAATTATATATTACATCGGTCACGTATCATTTATTGGTCAGAAATTAACCAATTTATTGATCACAAACACTCTTCTATTGTGCGCTTATAGCGATTGCAGTGGGAGAGTGTGCCGACGTTGGTGGGAGGTTAAGAGAAAGAAGAGTGGTGGGAGAGAGATAGAGAGAAGGGAGAGGAGAAAATGAGCAGGTTTGTGAGTGAAATTTTGTGGGGTGGATGGAGGTATGGTCAATATATATCGATTTAATTTTATAACATTATTATTAATATTAAAATATAGAATTATTACCTGATTTTGTATAAACAAACTCTAAACTTGATTTTTTAAGTTGAAATTTTAAAAATCCGTCTCCATATAATTTCCACTAACGTTAAATCGCTAATAGCCTGTTTGACAACCATTCTTTTAAAAGAATGAGTTTTTGAATAGTAAATTTTTTAAAAATGTGTGACTTAAAGTAAGAAAAATTTAGGTTTGCATAAAAAATATTTTATTGCGAGAATGTATGGCTGAAAATGAGTATTGAAAAAAATAGTTTTGAAATAATGAATGTGAAACAGAAATCGTTAAGCCCCCTGTTTGATAGAGATTAAAATCAATTTTTAGTAAATTATCATAAACGTTGATGAAATGTGTGATTAAAAAATTATGAATTCATGAATATGTGGTTAAAATTAATATATTGAATTTGATTTAAAAACCAAACAAGGACTAAAGAATAAATATAAATAAAGTTGAAAATGTAATTTTGAGATTATACAAAAAGAAAAAAAAAAAAAAAAAGTCTTTTTGAGTCTTCTCCGTGGTAAAAGCAAGAAAGTAATTTTGGGTTCGTCTTCAAATGTGAAGGTTAACATTTATAAACTATTTAATACTTTTCCTTATAACTTATTAGTATGGAATTGTTAAATAAAACATGCTCATATTTATTTGCAAATTATTATTCATTCATTTGGATTGGTTTTGCAAATTTCTTTGAATGACTATATCTTCCATAAAATCTTGTTGGGATTCCAACATTGTGTAAATTCTTTGTGAAGATTTTTTTATTTGGTAGTTGAACATTAATGAATACACTTAGCCCCTGTTTGGCACTCATTCTCTTT